AATCTGCGGCTCCTATGCCAGTAGAAACCCTGGAAGATGTCAAATGGTAAGGGAAAGTGATTGCACAATAGGAGAATTACTGTCCATTTTTCTGAGGCTAATAAAAAAACCTTACACTCCTACCTACAATTAAACAGCATATAAAAATGAATTAACAGCTGGGCTTTAGTGGTGCACGCCTTTAATCCCAGCACTCGAGAGGCAGAGGCAGGAGGATCTCTGTGAGTTCGAGGCCAGCCTGGTCTCCAGAGTGAGTACCAGGATAGGCTCCAAAGCTACACGGACAAACCCTGTCTCGAAAAACCAAAAAAAAAAAAAAAATTAACATCCTTGCTTTGTGCAAGCATCTTTGCAACTCGATGCGGAAGCACTGATATATTAATAGAAGCACGGGTTGGGATGCACTCTCCCTTCGCCCCTGCTTCAGAATACGGAGCTGACCCTCCCCCTTACCAGCTGTGGCACTCAGGAAAGGGGCCCTGCTCCTTTCACAGTAGAGCTGACCCTGTTGACAAGGGGTGGTGGGTGGCGGTGGTGGTAGTGGTTAACTGGCCCTGAGAATGTGAGTGTGGGAGATCTGGTCCCACCCCTCATACAGTGGTTTGGGCCTGGGAGAGATGCCACCCCTCAGCTGACTGTGGCTAGAAGCTCAGAAGTCATAAGAGCAGAGCAGGAGAGCTGTTCTAGCCCAACAGCTGCAGCACTCAGGAGAGTGGACCCTGCACCTCACCTGGGCAACACAATAGAGCTGGCCCTGGTGGTTTAGGTGTGGGAGAGTCGACCGCAAGGACATCAAAGCAGGCCCACCCCCAACATCCATCCCATCTATGATCTCCTGGAGCACATGAAGGGCCAGGTACTGCAGATCCAAAGCTACAGGATCTACAAGTCACAGGGCAACGACATGATAACCAGTGAGGGCCCAGCATCTATAGTGTAGCAGAAACCAGAGGCCTCGAACCAGGCCAGATCATTGACTCTGCAATGATCACTTGCAAGTAAAGATATACGGACAAGAGGCTAAACTGTGATTCACCGTATCACACTACAGCTTCTGTGACGAGATCTCGCTCTCTCTTCTTTTTTTTTTTTTTTTTGTTTCTGTAAGTTGTATTTTATTTTATTATGGGGTAGGGTGCAAGGGCAGATATAAAGGAACAGGAAATGAATGAGATCGAGAGGCATGATGTGAAAGACAGGAAGAATAAAAAGGTTAAAAAATAAAAAAGAAGAAGCATTGGTCGGCAGCTATAAAAATCTTAACATAAAAATTCAATGAGCAAATTTTTGCTAATACTTTTGGGGTTTGTTTTTTGTTTTGTTTTGTTGGTATTTATAGGCAGTCCCCCAACATAGTATGATGGGTGGTATGCTTTGAACACCCCCCATTCATGTTGTACCTGGAAGACACCTGGAGTAGAGTAGAGGCGATAGAGACTAGGGTGTTATACTACCAGGTCACAAGCCACAGTATTTGGGCTACAGTCTTCTAACAGACAGTTCTCTCTCTTATCCTGCCTTCCATCCTCTCTCCTGCCAATCTCCCTAGTACTTTTCTATCTGCCCTTACCTTTCTGGCCTTGGAAGGTATTCTGCTAGCTCCAAAATATTTCTCATTTCCCAGTGACTTCTGTCCACCCTGCCCAGGTTTTGCAAATAGTTCTCTCAAATCCCTTAAAATCTCAGGTGTCTTTCAAAATCCTTTTGGCATAGTTACCTGCTGTCTATGAGGGCCATGAATTACTGGTGGTCCACAATGACATAGAAGAGCGAGCTTCTGACTGCAGATTATGAATCCAGAGGGTAACATTTTATCCTTCATTCTCCTCTCCAGACCTACTGTCTAAGACGGTAGCCATGAACCGTATTCAGCTTTTAATAATGCTCAAATTTAAAACAATGAAGTTAAAATTTTCATCCCTCCATCCTAACCAGTCACCGGCTCTATTTTGAATAGCAGAGTCAGTCATTGACGCTGTGTCACAGAAAGCGCTACAGGACAATGCTTTATACACCAAACAAACATCTCCATGGTAAAGCATAAAGATGGTTTCTACCTTTTGCTCTACCTTATCGTCACAGGTGCAGCCCAGGTCAAAATCAGACTGGAGGTACATAATCCCTGGGTAGTTGGGTCTGGTGACTTCTTCTGGTATGGTTGGCCTAAAGGTATTTGTACGGAGTAGGTGATTCAAACTTCCATGAGTTCCATTATTGGGAGCTGGCTTTAATCCTAGGAGATCTGATGAAGAGAAAGGGAAGCAGGTGTTCTTGGATGAGCTATGGTAAGAGCCAAAACCTTTCCCCTTCTAAGAGTCTATAAATACTCAACACAAATCACAACTGGACTAACTAAATTATTGTATCTGCCATCCCGTTCACATCTTCTGAACCCTTCTGACCTCCCAGTGCCTTGCTCACCCTTCTTGAAATAGCTCTGTTCACTGCTAGAGTGTGAATACAGACAGACATTCCCAAAAGCCCTGAGTGGAGAAACAATTTACTCAGCCATTGCCTGTGTGTGTGACAATGTTGGTACCATCAACCTCCTGCAATTCTCTGGACCTTTTAAACCCAAATTTTGAAATAAGACATAATCAATAAGTACCCACAGCCTGCCCTCTAATGCACTCCCCAAAAGTGTGGGGACATGAGTAGGCTTTGGCCATGTGCCCTGATGGGCTACCAAGGGATGAACGGGCTGATTTCACAGCAAGTGAATGGTTGCCAAGTGAGCAGACAGTGACTTGCCTAAGCTGAGAGGCAGGACAGTGGAGAGCTAGCAGCCAACCTAGGAAAAGAACCCAGGAGACCCGACTTTCAGACTCACCCTCTAACCACCAGACTGGCACTCCCTTACTAAATTGGAAAGGCTGTCCTCATTCAGGAACGAGAAGCTCAAGGAAGAAAAATAATTAGGAGTACATAAATAGCTGGCTGGGATGCAAGCTGGCAAAATTTTCACTGGGCTGCAATGTGAGAGAGGGAGGTGGGAGAAGGCTCTGTCTGCATGGAACTCTTGCTTCATCGGGTCTCTGACCAACGGTGTCAAACTGTAATGCTATGTTGGATCAGCCAACAGCTGCCAACAGCAACACTATGAAAACTCCCCATTAGTCAACTGTTGAAGGGACACAAAGAAGCCTTAGAAGGGGGTGACATTCTGTCTTTTGAACCAATGGGCAAGTTACAATATTTTTTTTCAGGGAGAGAAGGTCTTAGAGAATAGGCACCTCATTTCTTTTTCTAGCAATAAGGAAATTCATCGAGTTAGATTGAACAAATGACTTACCACACATAACATTGTAAAGCTCAATGTTTTCAAATGGAGGCACTTTAGTCCTGTACTTAAAAGTTGGGCCATAACCTACAAAAACAGTCTTCCAAGAGAAAGGAAAAGAAACACAGTTAAACACCCCTGCTTCCATTAGCAGTGTTTCTCTACCTCTGAGTTCCATGAACCTTCACTGACCCCATGGTCTCCTCCACCCCAGAACTAAATTTCAATTCAGTTTTGTGATCATACCTGCATACTGTTGACCTTGTTATCAAAGCCATGGTCACCCTGGAAAAAACATTTTCCTGATGGCTTCTTATAAACATCCAAAGGTTTCCTACATCAAAACAATTTTATGATCAGTTAGGAGTCTGCCCCAAATCATGCTGATATAAAGCAAATTTGGGGTAGATAGGATCCCTGAAAAGACCTTCCTGAAGTCCAATCATCTCTGTCTTAATTGCCTCGTTCCCATGGCAACAACAAGGCACTTCAGTTCATTTCTCAGTGTTACTGCTTTGCATATCACCCCAGGTTAAAGGGGAAATTTGGAAAAGAAGTCTACATGCTCTCCACGATCCTGCTTGGACTGATCAGCTCTCCCTGACACAGGCTCACCAGGCTCAGTCCCAAGATACAGAAGGCATTTTGAAATATGTGATGTTGAATCAATTTGTGGAGATCTGCATTCTCTAGAAATATTTGTACACAACCTTATCCAGCAGGATAATAAGACCAGAGTCCATGAAGTGGCCAATTTAACACTAATAATGGCATAGCTAACAAAAGGCTGGCCTCACCTAGAAAATGTATTTAGACATCATGATGACTTAATTTCACCTTTTGTGACACAAAGATACCTTTTACATAACTGTCTTATGGACTCTTCTACCACCCAAAGTGTTGATGTTTAGCAATGAAAGTATTGTCTAAGTATAGGCAAGCACAGATCAGTAAAGAATAGTGCCTGGAAAAACAAAACAAAACAAAAATCTAACAAATGGGTTTCCACCCAAGAATAACTCGGATTTAGGATAGTAATAGGTATGTACAATAACTGAACAACGCAAGAGTAAACTTCTAAGATTAAGCACCTGCCTTTGCCGTTCACTAACTTGAACGTGAAGATGTAATGATTTCACTAGCCCCAAGATAAATGATAAACGGGTGTTTATTGGAGAACACTTACACAGATGATAATAAAGAACCACGGGAGAGCTTCTCTGCCCTGCCTATCAGATGTGCTGGGCCAAGAGAAAGATCCCAAGCAAGCGAGACCATGCCTCACACTTCTCTCTTTCCACTTACATCCGCATAAAGCCACGCCCAAAGGGGTGTGGCCACCATTGCAGGTTCACTGGCAAGATGCTGCTACACTACCTTGCTCAACTAGTGTCATGTTTCATTTAACTTCTGTTCTAAGACATAGTTTTTTCATATAAATAGACAATTGCATCAGGTTTCTTTCCTAGGTGCTGCCCGCACTAAAGGTCCTGCAGAAGACATAGTCAGCCAACGTATTTTGGCCACATCTCTACAACACTTCTAAATGACATTTTATGATTCTGGTGATTTCTGGGTTTCATATCTCTCTTTGCATAATCCCCTGTATCTAACTATTTGGTCTTTTACACTTACAGTAGATTACATGCCGTGTGTGTCTACGTGTTTCATATTGAGACAAAGTTCCTAGAAGACCAGTGTTTTTCGTAATCATCTCATGCTTAGCCATTAACTATTATAAACTACTGCCCAGCTTGAGTATACATCATAGTTATTCAATTAGTACTACAAGCATATTCATCACACTTGTTTTAAGGTCAAAGTTGGAGCAAAAATGTGTGAGAGAACAATACTTCTGGGCCTACATAAAAATGACTAAATCTGTGGTGATTGACTCTTTAGAAGTGGCAGAGCCCCCAGACATACTCTACATCCAATCCCAAAGCAACGGGTGGTCTCCTTGATCTGGGAGAGACTTTTGTAGTTCAGAAGACAAACATCAGTTGTGTTTTAAGCAATGTAAAATATGCCCATAGCAATGGAGGTTTCAAGATTAACATTTCCAGGGGCCTTCTACAAACACAGCTATAGGCAATCGTGTCAACCAAGGCCTTAGCTGAATTTTGAGTTGTTCAAGGGATAAAATAATCTAGAATGTCTCCATAAAACTTATGCAAGAGATGCATGGGAAGCTAAAAAAAAAAGACCCAGGAACTAGAGATGTTGATTATCTACTATAAAAAAAAAATCCAAACAACAAGATTATTTCCAACCGAGATTTTTCTTAATGATGACTAAGAACCTTAAAGGATTTCCAGGTGACAGAAAAGCACGGTAAAGACAGGCTCCCCAAGTTACCTTGCAACGTGCCATCTGCGATCCACCAACAAATGGATGTCCTCAATTCTCCTGTTGTTGGCATAGTGCAAACGTTTGGGAAGGTGTTGTTTCATGTAAGGCTTAAAGTGCTGATCTGGTTTTTTACACTGAAATATAAGTGAATATTGGTCTTACAGAGTGATGTTTTCTACCAAAGAAAAAAAAATGGCCTACATGGTCTGTTGTCTCTTGAAAGTTGAAGGTAGTGTTAGCCCCAACAAAAAGATGGTTAGCAGATAAATGGAATTTGCTAGCCCCTATTAAATAATGTATGCTAAAAGCAAATGGGTTGCAAGGGAGTTAGACACTTTTAGAAAGAAGGTGTAGGTTATCAGAGCACATGAGGAATTTGTAAGATAAATTCCTGACTCTTGAGCAGGAGGGCAGTTCGAAACTCAAGCTATTTCCTAATTGCCTCAAGTCAAGGAGTGGGACTCCTCCCTTGGGTGGGAGGAGAGCAGGAGCCATGGGCAGGCCTCTCTGATGATATGCTCAAGTGCTTTGAAGTCTCTATCTGCGGGATGGGGTGCGGGCTAGAAGATGGGGACAGATCTGCTCCAGAGTGAGCAAAGATCTGATTAATTACAAGCAAATAGTTCTCAGCTTAATAGGAAGAAAAAGCCTCCATTTGTATCATCGCCAAGGCCATTGGGGAGTCTACCGTTGACCATAGGCCAGAAGTTTTGAAAGCTTGGGGGAAACAAATACACAGGACCGCAGGTCAGTGAGGAAAATGTTCCTAACCACCCACAAGAAAGGCAAACATGAGAAAGTGATGGTGTCAAAGCTGCTCCAAGGGCAGAGGCCTAGTGGCTTGCAACACTTACCGTGAGATTAGCAATAATGGCTTTAGGGTCATCTGTGCAGAGAAAGGGAGAAAGATTTCAAAACATAGCCACAAAGAGAGGTGATTTTTACAGAAAGAAACTTAATGCTTCCACCCCATTTAATGTCGCTTTGAACAGATGATTAATTGAGTATAGGTTTTTAATATTTCAGCAACAGAGACACAACTAAACAAGTGGCACAAATCTTGCAGCAATCTGCCCTGCAAGACGCAGGCCTCCTCCTCTAGGTGGGAACACTGTTCCCGCAGCCTGAGAGTCCTGCTGGTGCTCCAAGCTTGCCCAACAGAGTCCCCTGGAGCACTCACTTGAGTTGGTTTGCAATTTCATGTCAGTGACCGAGCTGGTCATTTTTAGGGGTCTTTTATCATCATTTCCTGTTTTTCTTCAGTGCTTTTGAGCAAGCCACCATTCGTTGCAAAATGCCCTCCCTAATTCAGCAAGTGAGTAGTTTCTGTGGTGATATCAGAAGTCTAATTATATAGGTTTGCACTCCTTCTGAGTGGCAGGCTTACATGTGTGTGCCGCCTTTATTGATTACGACCAGGAGACAAAGACTATTTCAGACTACACTCAAACGAGCTTAAAGCTCAACGATGTAAATGGTGCCTGCGTGTGAACTGGATCTTATTGTCAGGGTGCCCCTCTGTGGGGATTGTGCGGAAAAAGAGATTGTAGGCTCTTTGGGTTTTGTTTTGTTTTCATAACAAAGTTAGCTTCAATATGTCATTACAGAATCAGGAGAAGGGGGAAAGCAGTTCTCAGAAGAGACCCAGCTTTCCCAGTGCAGGCCTCCCAGGGACAGAGTCATCCCCAGAGCTGGCCTTGTGCATATCATTCACTGAGGTAGTCCCCAGGGCTCGGGGCTTTGGAAGCACTCAATAAGCAATAAACAAATTGTTCATATTTGTGGAAAATGCAGTTTCCCTTAAAGTATACACACACTAAATACTGTCTTCAGAAACTTAGTCCTAAAGCTCTGAAATTCAAAGGTAAGAATGTCAGTTCTGTTTTACTTAAGTTTTAATAGCTGCATTTGATGGAAAGCAAGCAAGCGATCATGGTAATAACGACTGAGTCGGGCTGTGCACCCATTTCTTCCTAAGAGCACTGGAGGCCTTTCTCTCTGATCATTCATAAGGCTACCAGGATACAGGGCCATCAGATGCCTCACCCAGCCAAGCAGTTTTAGAAGGTGAGGGAGCTTGCTCGCTGGAGCACAACACACAGTCCCACTGAGCCATCCATGCTCTGAACTTCTCCACTCTCAGGTCTTTTGAGTCATTGTCTTTACATGGACTAAACAGAAGAATTCCATGTCCTCTGATAGGTTAGAGCAGTGTGTTCCTCAACCTTCCTAATGCTGCAATCCCTTAATACAGTTCCTCATGTTGTGGTGACCCACGACCACAAAATTATTTTCGTTGCTACTTCCTAACTATCATTTTGCTACTGTTATGAATTGTAATGTAAATATTTTTTGGAAATAGAGGTTTGCACAAGGGGTTTGTGACAAACAGGTTGAGAACTACTGGTTTAGAGAAATCAACAACATGGGACAATCTCATCCTCAAACACATCCCAGAGAATTCTTAGGAAATACTGAAGGCTTCTGTTTGAGACAGCAGTCTTCCAGTCTAAACTTGTCATCATTTCACGCCACTCAGTCCATTCTGAATGAGGAAAGGGCGGTGATTAAGAAGCAGCAAATGGAGCTGGCCACATGGTTCAGCCAGTAAAATACTTGCCGCCATGCCTGACCACCTGAGTTTCATTCCCTGGATAGAATGCTAATCCCACAAATTGCCCTATGACTTCCACACATATGCTATGGCACATGGCATTGTTGTACTTCTGTGCGTACATGCATGCATGCATACATACATAGGAACACAATAAATAAATGTAACTAAATTTTTAAAAGAATCAGCAAATCAGGGTTTTAACCCTAGCTCTGCCATTTACTGTCACCCTGTAAGCCAGTTCCTTCAACCCTCTCTGCCCTTGACTTCCACTGTCTATAAATATAATGGCAATATACATCAAGCAAGGATACTGGAGGGAGTTAATAAGATTGTGTTCATATTCATCTGAAACAACAATAATAAAGCCAAGACCTCATCTTTGTACTCAACATATAGCTTTGACTACATTGTAATTACATTTACACAGTCTCTCCTTCGGGCATTCCACAATCCTAATTCTATGCATGAGGAAGCTGAGACACAGTGTATCGAAGAAGCTTGTCCAGAGTCTCAATGAGAACCTGGAAGAGCTGCACAGTGAACACTATCATAAGGCCACCATTGTGCTCATCAGTGCCCACCTCACTGTCTCTCCCAAAGTGAATGGACAGCACAATTAATTCATCACTGGTAGTCCGATTCTCCAGCAAAGCTGCTCATCTACTCAATCTCCCCATTACATTTACTGTTGTCAGAAACACTCTGTTTTGTTTTGTTTTCATTCTTTGTTTTTGAATTACAAACAAGATTGAATTACATGACAATCCCAGTTCCCTTCTCCCTCCCTTCCTCCCCTACCACCCCCCTAACTAAAACCCTCCCTATCACATATCCTTTCTTCTAATCTACACCTGACTCAACCTTTCTGCTTCCTCATGACCTCTGCATCCTTCCTTTTCTTCCCTTCTCATTCTCGTAGCTCCCTCCCCCCTCTTCCCATGTTCTCAATTTGCTCAGGGGATGGTGACCCTTTCCCCTTCTCCAGGGGACAAAGTTAGTCAGAAACATATTTTGAAATAAACAAAGAAGCAAATTCTTGCATGCACCTTCAAACCCAAGTGCTAAAATAAAGAGGAATCCTTCATAAAGGCTCACATCCAGTCCAAGGGAGCAAAGGTGCTGAGGCCACCAAGGACAGAAAAGGACATGGAAAAAAAGTAAGAAACACCAATATTTTGTTGATTTCACAACATTGACCTTGGAATACGTCCCATTTGTGTTGACTTAGGAACATAACTTAGGAAAAATTTAGGTTTCCAAAGCTTTGAGCCTGTTGTCAATGGTTTATTATTCTGAAGCTTCTGTTTTGATATAGCATGTCTGAAGTAAAAGTATATGTACTTAGAAACAAACAATATATGCTCATATAAAAATACCCTTATGTGACATAATACCACGTACAATTGATATATACAGTGAAAAAACTTTTTTAAGAGTTAGAGCATCCACACAGTTTTCAAAACCTAGATGGCAAAGAGACAAACTAAAAGTTTGTGCTAGTGGCCTATCTCCCCCGCAACATGCTTTTAAAAAAAGTTAAAACAAAGATTCACAATTCCTCTAGGTTTTGTTTTATTTCTAATTTTTCAGAATAGTTAACAATCTCTAAGAATGTAATTTTTTCCTCTTATGAATTCTGTACATCACTTTGACAAAAGGAAAAAGCCAGGATGTACTGGGGAACTTTGAGGGTAGAGTGTTGTTGGTTCTGTCAACCCTGAGACTCTACCTTCACCAAGGGACTACCATGCCCTGGGCACAGGAAAATCTTTCCCTATAAACATATGTTTATGCTGCAAACATGCTTCAAGTTAAGTGCAATTTCCAAATGATAAAAACAAGACAAAATGCTCAGTCAATGCTCTTCTATGCCAAGAACCATTTAAGCAATACATATCTGCAAGTCTTCATAGATACCAAGACTTTTACATCAGATGAGAAAAACTGAAGTTCAACTAGCATTTCCCTAACTCCATAGAACAAGTCTTTACCTTATCCATTGATTATTAGTTGAATTACTTAATATTTGAAGAACCAACTTACATTTAGGATTATTGATAAATTTTGATCGAATTCTTCCTAGAGTTCCAGGCACCAAAGTGATATCATCCACATTAGTCAGATAGTTGCTCAAGAACTCGGTTCTGTCACATGTCACGTCTTCCATTCCTATGGGGATGGAAAAACACACATACACACAAGTTCTGTCAGACTGTATTAAAGTTAAAATCCTAAAACATTCACACAGACACCGAAGATGGCATTCTAACTCCTTTTTAATTAGATTATAGTGACTTAAGAAGAGGAAACTTCATCTCTGAGATTGTTTTGGTCTGACATTTAAAGACGTAACTATACAAACTTTCTCCAGATGTTTGTTCCACCATACTATCTCACATACAGGAGGAGATTGAAAAGGTGTCACCTTGGTTATTATTTTGAGTTATTGAGTAAGAGCAGCAAGACAAAAGTTGAGGGCCAGGGAGATGACTCAGTAGGTAAGGGTACTTGTCTCCAAGCCTGACTACTTGAGTTTCATCCGTGAAGCCCATTCTGACTCCTACATGAGTGCTACAGACTCTCTCTCCTCCACCCCTCTCTCTCTGTCTCTCTGTCTCTGTCTCTCACACACACATACACAAAATAAATGAGTAAATAAATGTAAGAGTGTTTGAAAAACACAAGCTATTGGCATTCATTATGAGAAATATTCACTCATTAAAAACAGGCCCTCTTGCGCTTATGGGGAGGTACTCCAAGTCTACGATCCCTACCCAATGGAGGGAACAGAAGAGAGATAGGAAGGCAGACACATGGTCCTCAGGCATGTCACATGGGTAGGTGGGGTTTTCAGCATGTGATTATGGCCTCTCACTTGAGAATGGTGGTCTTGTATCACAAGGATGGGTACAGTTAGTAGTGAAAGTCTACATTCTTGCCTAAAAATGGAGGCCAATGGCATGTGGCAAGATCGGGGGTTTAACTGACTGCATGAATCTGAGGTCCCCATATGGACATGGGGGCACAGATAAGGTAGGGAAGGCAGTAAGGAGCTATGTAGTCCTTGGATAGGTCAAAGGGGGTAGTTTCACATGTATAAAGCTGTTCTCCTCAATATGCTATAAGCAATTTTTATATCAGAAAATGTTTAGAAACTTCAAGCAATACTAAACAGAAAAAGATATTAAACATTTCCAGAAATCAGAGTGTTGGGAACTACTAATACCACAATAAATTGAAACAAAAGAAACAAACAAAGTAGACCCTATTGCTTCAATTTGTTCCTAGCAGGATAAGTGGGTGGGTATATAAATGACTGGAATTTCACTTCGGCTTCTCTTTCACAAAATGTCATTTCTGGGGCTGGAAAGATGGTTGTGTGGTTAAAAGTATATACGGTTCAGAGGTCAATTCTCAGAACCCAGGTCAGGCAGATTACAAGCGCCTGTAACTCCAGCCCAGGGGGAGCTGATACCATGGTCTCTGCCAGCATGCATGCACACACACACACACATATACACAAATACATACACATTCACACACAGATACACACATATTTAAATGATGCCACTTCCTGTTCTTTTTCCTTCTAGTACATTTTCTATCTTAAGGATCTAGTCACAACTCCTCACTCTGTCTTCACTGGTGGCCTTGGGTGTTACTGACAAACAATACTGGCAACAAGAAATGAGGGACAGAAATCAAAGTCAATTCAAATGACCACCCAAACTGAAAAACAAAATAATGTACAAAAACAAGTTGTAAACAACAGAATTAGAACCGGAAGTTAGCATCTGACATTCAGAAAATGTCCAGTGGGGGATTTTATTTTCACCAACCAATATTCTTTCCAACCTTCAAATTTGTTTTCTGCCTTCGAGCAAGAGAAATTCTCAATATTTTGAAAACCAATTTAAATCTTAAGACTATAAATTCTACAGACCTAAATCTCACAGAGATCATTGTTGACATGCTTTAGAATTCACAAGTTGAACCAGAGCAGTGAAAGTTCACACTGTAGCTGGTGTCACCCCACCCCTATGGTTTGTCTCTCTGAAGTTCTCGTTATCTGTGGTCAACAGCAATCCAAACCATAACCCTGGAAAATTCTAAAAACAAATAATTGACAGATTTTAAACTGCCCTTCTAAATGGCATAATGAAATTGCTGGCTACCCTGTTCCATTTTGCTCAAGATGGAACATTTATCCAATGTACACATTTATCCAATCTACACAGTAACTAGGAGAGATCATATTCGCATAATTGTTTGCAGCATACTCTCCCAATTGATATGATTTATTTATTTATGATTTTCTTTCAAGACAGGGTTTCTCTGTACAGCTTTAGCTGTCCTGGAACTCTCTTTGTAGCCCAGGCTGGCCTCGAACTCACAGAGATCCACTTGCTTCTGCCTCCCAAGAGCTGGGATTAAAGAACTGTGCTACCACTGCCCGGCTAATTGATGTGTTCTATTGCTAGTAATTGCTGATAATTACTATGTCTGATTTATAAATTGTATCTCACCATTACAAGTGTATCAGAAAAGGCAGACTTACAAGATTAAACACTAACTATAATCACAGGCATCTACTAGAAGTCACAGAACATAGTCTCCTTGTTCAAGGGAGACCACTGAACTGCCTTCCACAGGCTAGCATATTAGTATTCTCTAAGAGGGAAAGTAAATGATTCTGTAAAGGATCGTAAAGGTTTAGATTTAAGAAATGTACTCCAGAGTGGTCCAGGTCTGGTAAAATTCAAAAAAATCACTTTTGGAGATCCCAGATGGATCTCTTCTTTTCTTTCTAAAATTCTTTTTGTTATTGTTGTGTGTATTCATGTTAAGGGGTGCTACCGTGTAAATGTCGTGGTCAGAGGACAACTCAATGGAGTCAGTTCTCTCTTTGTAACCTTTCATGGACTCCAGGGAATGAACTCATATCACCAGGCTCACCTGGCAAGCTCCCCTACTCCTTAAGCCATCTCATTCGCTCTTTTTGCTCCTTTTTAGTTTTTAATATCAATTAGTATGAAGAAGGAGTAAAACATTTTAACATAACACAATCACATTATGTTTCGTTAAAAGTCTTTTCTTTCTTTATTTTTTTTCTGAGACAGGGTTTCTCTGTGTAGTCTTGGCTGTCCTGGAACCCACTCTGTAAGCCAAGCTCACCTTGAGCTCACAGAGATCCACCTGCCTCTGCCTCCCGAGTGCTGGGATGAAAGGTGTGCACCACCACTATCCAGCATGCACCACCATCACTGCCAGGCATGCCTTTTCTTTTAACATCAAAGCTTTCAGGATGAAGAAGTTAAAATAATAAACAGCTACGTGTTCCAGTAAAACGTTACCTCAGAAAGGGAAAATTCCCCAAATCCAGATGAATGGAAGATGGAAAGAATCTTCTATTGTTACGTTTTGACAGTCATTTCAGTAGTTCGAACATTGTGCAATCTCCCCAGGTTTCAGAGAACATCGGCAAATGTGCCCTGGGTTTCTCTGGAATCCCCCCTGCTTCCCTCCTGACTGATTTTCCCTGTGTGGAGTCCGTGTTCTCATTCTGCTGATGAGGGAGATGAGATTTGTGGAAGCAGATTGCATACAGATTGCATAAGGTCATGGTGAAATCTGAGCTCCGTAGAAACTCATTCTGTCAAAGCCCAGGGCCTGAAACACTAGGGAAGATACCTTGTAAACCATAGGTGGCCTGGCTTCCCAGGACCAATGGATCCATTCATTTTAGCAATCTTCACATTCAGAAAGGGTTTTACTCTGTCTATGACCTTTATGGTGACATGTGACTCCCTGGGACCATCTACTTCTTAGAAATCTGCCTCCAGCATGTGAGCAAATGCTCTCCACACTTCTGGGCAACTTAAATTGAGTTAGTGTGTCACATGCTCCCAATTTCCACCCTGTCTGCAGCTTTCCACTAAGTCAAACTAGTAGAGAATGATCTTGTGGAGGGTGTCATTTAATCCACTCAGTGAAGCAAGTTAACGTCCACAAATCCCATGCATTGCCTACTTTCTCAGATTTTCTAGAATGCTCTGGAAATAAAATTTTATGAGCCAAAATTTAACTAAGCAGATTCACTAAATACTATTAACAGAATCGCCAAGAAGTCAATCATTTTTTTTAACAGCCCCCTATAACAAGGATGTTATTACAGTTCAGTTTCATAGTTTCAGAAAATCGGTGGTAATCTCTAGAAATGAGTCCACATATCTATGAATAAAAATGCTCTCTGAAAATCAACGTGGTATTAATATGAAGCTCGTCACTGCTAGCTAGCTTTCATAGTATTGGAAGTTGCTAAGTAGGCTGCTGGGATAAAAAGTCAACAGTCTTAGTCAGCAATGCATCCTATGAACTACAGTGACCAGCGTGGCAAGAAGCCCCACAGATGGCCTAGTGGCATGAATGTTATAGGGTAATTAATCACTCTCTGCTTGGATTTCAGGCCTGCTCTATAGGAGGAAGCACATGTCTGGCACTGTAAATTTGGCCAAGAATACATGGTTGATGAGCGTACAAGCCCCAGGAGTAAATCTGCTATTATTATTTAGCTAAGAGCACACAGTTTCAAACTATGCTCTAAATTTGCATTTCTATACCTATAGATCAATGAAGCTTTCAGCTCTCATCAGGGTATTTTCTTTGTGCAATGGACAACAGTTAATGCAGAAACTCACACCTTGTCAAGATGCAAAGAGTAAGTGTCTGAGGAGTGCTCAGCCATAAATGGAACATCTGTATCACAACCCTTTCCCCAAGGCTCAGCGACCATTGCAGAAGGCGGGGTGAGAAGAGCATAAGAGCCAGAGACTGGAGTTAAGGCAAGAGATAAACAGCATCTTCTGGACATGACAGGACAATTGCATGAACTCACAGTATCTGTGGTTGCCTGGACAAGATTAAAACAGTCAACATTCCATGATGACTGAAGAGCTATTGACAGCTAATGAGTCTTAGGCAAGGGGAGTCAGTTTTCTTTAAGGATGTGTCCCATGGTAAACTACCATGTTCCAAAAGATGGCCCCAAAGTCATGAATGTATGAATAATTAACACAAATTGCACTTAGTGGATCATGTAAAAAGGAAAAAAAAAGAGGACAAAAGGATGGGAGGAAGTGAGAAGGTTGGGTTGGATCTGGAAGGAGTGAGGGGGAGGGCTGAGGTA